ATTCCACTGTCATTAAATTAACATCTAATACAGTATATTTTGTTAGAATGGCCAGGAACACACAGGTAATGATGACAGCAACAAAATAGAGAGTAAATACTGCAATAGGTAAATATTTTAAACATTGTAATAATATTTCTCTGTTGAAACTTGCATTTTCTTGTTTTAAAGCACAGCAAACAGCTTTGAGTAATAAAATAAAGATAGGAGTTTGATGTTATCTCATACCTATAAACCTTTCTCGGAGTCCACTGGTGGCCAGTATCCAGAATATTTGTGTTCAAACATAATTGGTTGTATTAAGCATAAGGGGCATATTCATTCTTCAGTAAACAGTATTTTGCTTGAAGGCCCAAATCTTTTAAATGCTTGCAAAGTATGGTAATTGTCTAAGTCTGCCTTCAAGTATCTCAGCAAGTATTACCTAAGACTCACAGATTCAGGCACATCAACAGTTTGAAAGGAAGGAGGGGGAAGCCTACCCGTTTGGATTTAATCTGATGGGAAGCTTTTTAGTTAGCTCGCATTTTTAACATGGAAATAGGAAAAAAGCAGTTGTTATGTGGTTAAAAGTTTAAAATTATTTAAATGCAAGAACTGTAGTATTCTATATGAAGTGATAACTATTTCTGGATTTGCTATTATCAAACATAATATAAAAATCTCTCCAATAACAAAACTAAGTATATGTCAGTTATGGATTATCTGCAATCCACAGATCAGTAAGCCCCCTACCCAGTGGTGGGTTTCAACCTTTTTTACTACTGGTTCTATGACTCTCAGTGCTATGAGTGCTTTGTGTACATGCGCAGAATTCAAAAACTATTGATTTTAAGCTTCAAACATTACCTCCATTCAGCGCTGGTGTGTAAAACAGCTGAGGCACAGCAATCCGCTCTGCTGCATGAATCAGCTGAGCAAAAAACAAAGGAAAAAGGACAGGAAAGGGCGGGTGTGGATGGGCAGGGCCAACTGCTCACCGGAGCTATTGGTTCACTAGAACTGGTACGAACCGGCAGCACCCCACCACTGCTCCTACCCCATGAAGTCTGGATGGGCTCTTGGAGGGCTCTCTTTTAATTTATAGTGTAAATAGTAAGTAAGCAAGCTCTCAAAAAAAATGTGTGTACTTTATTTCCTTTGATGAGTCCTTTCCAGTGTTCTGCTCATTTGCTGTACAGTATTCTCAAGCTACTGATAATGAAAGACAGAAGCAAAAAAATCTGCAGAAAATCCAGGTGCTGATTAGATTAGACTGAGCAGGAGGCAAAACTTGAGTGACTTTGTGTAACTGCAGTCAGACCTAGTTAATACTTGAATAGAAGATGGGAATATCCAAAGCAGTAGACTAAATAGGGAAGTTGAAATAACATTAGAAAGAAAGCAGAAGTAAACTACTTCTATACTGTTGCCGAGATAATTATATAATAGAGTTATGCACAAAATGAAAGATGTGTTTTGTTTTCAGCCCAAAACAAACAGCAGATTTGGAATTTCTATTGTACTATCTTAGGTCCAAAACCTTCTATATTTTGATCCACTGCTAGGAGATCATAGAAATCAAACGGAGGGAATCTTGTTTTATCTTTTACTTTTTTAGGAGTCTACAGCAGATCCTCTTTTCACATTTTCTTTCATGCAGCTAGAGTATACGCTGTAATTCCTATCTGTAAATCTACTTTTGATGCAGTATCAGTGGTGGGATTCTTTTTTTTTTACTACCGGTTCTGTGGGTGTGGCTTGGTGGGTGTAGCAGGGGAAGGATACTGTAAAATCTCCAGCCACCTCGGTTCTCTGAACTACTCAAAATTTCCACTACCAGTTCTCCAGAACTGGTCAGAACCTGCTGAATACCAGCACTGTGCAATATATACTAAAATATCCAGTGTACCTTTTTTTTTCTCCCTAGCATTTTCCTGCAAATTCAGGGTCCACTTTTTTTTCTTCAGATCAATCATGTGTTGATCCATTGGCTGCAACAGGATTAGCTGACCAACTTATTGCCTGAGCCTGACATTGTGAGCTGAATGACTGATTCAATCCTCCTCTTTCCTATGTAAACACATAATACATTATATTTAACTCGTGGCTTTTCCCTTTACCATTCAAACTTAGATGTCTTTTTGCCATTGTTTAAAAGGTGCGTCAGTAGTCAAAATAGCATTGTCTGACATCATTCTAGGCGGAATATTCATTTTTATCACAGAAATTCTCCCCAGCAATGACAATTGTAGTTTCTCACATCTTAGCATGTCTTCTTAAATTTCATTCCATGTCTTAACATAAATATTTTGAAATAACATACTATTCCTATTTGTCATTATTTGTCAACATCCTTAAGTAAGGATTCTTTTTTGTTAGGAACTATCAAACTAGCCTTATTTAATTGTTTATGATTTTAATATTGTAATATTTTAGTCTAAAACTGGCTTTGAATTTTTGGGATGCAATAGAATCTGGTTTTGAGGAAATAGTTGAATAAAACAATATAAGTTTTATAATTAAAATGCTTGCATTAAGTATTTCCAAATACTGCAGAGTTTTCAGTATTATGACAAAAATAGCAGCCTACCACTTACAGTTTGCTTGCTGTTTAGGTCCGGAGGCCTGCAATCTGAGATATAATTTAAAATGGACTAATCTCAGCTTCCTGTGAAAGTCATTTCAAAGCCCCAAGCTTCTGCAGAACTTCTTAAATGGTTTTAATGCCTCAGTAAAACCACAAAAGCTCTAAATTAAAAGCAAACATTAGGGCATTGCTTAAAGGTACTTGTGTCTTTTTAAAGAACCTAAGTAACTTTGACAATGATATTGAAACTTTACGTGCATTATAACTGTGTACTTTTTAGTTATACGAGAAAATGCAGTTAAAAGGGCTGTTTGTCCAAAATTGATCTGGCTCCCCCTCAAGGATCTACAACATGAGATGTTCTTCAGCACACAGCAACTGGTAACCATGGCCAGAGCAGCCTTTGCCCAGCTTTGTATGGTGTATTAGATGCATTTTATTTGAAGCGATGGTCCTTCGTGCCCTTCTTACTTTAGACCAGTGTTTTACAACTTTGGCAACTTTAAGATTATTTAAGACTAGCTCGATACCCATGCTTCACTACGAAACTATGTGCTTGGGCTTAGTTTTTGGGAGGAAAATGGTGGTGGTGGGGGG